GATTCCTTCACTCAAGTGTAGTTCTTTTTGAATTATCCTCGATGTTGGTTTAAAAAGTGATCTCTTATGCGAAGAACAGTCTTGTCATGATTGTTAATTAGTGTTTTGTCCATTGTTTATATATCTAAAAAAGGATGCAATCCTTCTCAGAAATAGCTCTCACCTGAAGATGGTTTCAGACGATCTCCATTGAGCCGCTTGAAAAAATCGCATGAAAACCAATCAGGAGAATCGATGAAGCATTCGAAAAGCGTAGTTATCTAGAAGTCAGACGAATAAAAAGAAGACATAATTGGGCACTGTTCGGCCTCGAAAAGGCACTGAGTACCTACCGTAAGCAGTAGGATCACATCTAGCAAAAGTACTAAGCAACTCACAAACTCCTTATCCACTTGTAGCGCCATCTTTTGACCATTGTCTAAACGCACATGGTCCCCAGCAGCTCGTAACAAAGCACTAGCCGCAATCGTCACTTCGGATATCGCTGCAGAGCGCTGAGTTGAATTCCACTGAGCTCGATCAAGCATCGAGTTGATACGACTAAAATATATTCCATGTCGCAGTGGTGTACTACTGGTAGGTAATATGGAGGATAGAAACCAAAACGTCCGATTCTGCCTGTCACCTTCAGAGAATAAGCCTTGCATTCTACTCAAGATCTGGAAAAAGTAACCTGTGTGTGCGAACTAAGCCCCATAAAGTCTTGCACGAGCGCATGTTTTTTTTTTCTTCAGACGACTGCTATCAATCGGTCAACCAAGTAAAAAAAGGGGGCGGGGCGGGTAGGGTAGCTGTGAACCTACGCCCAGTCACGCCGCTCCTGTTCCACAGTGCGTATGGCAGCGAGGTCACCTGATATACAGTTGCTATCACTGAAGCCAGTGGGGGCAGAAACGCTGCGGGCTCGGTCATTCCATGAGTGATGGGAGAAAGGTTAGCGCCGCGTAAAAAGCTGCCCCTTAAAGACACCCACCCCCCCCCCCCTACTGACTTCAGTGATAAAGACTGTATCTGTAGCTGATGCATTACAGTCGACCCGCGCTGCATCGAGGGGCAGTGTAAGCGGCAACGTGCATGTGCACCCTGCATCCTAGTGGTAGTGTAAGCGGCGTCGCGTGCATGTGAACCCGCACCAGGATCTAGTTGACTTGAGAAGAATGGTTTCCAGTGTGTCAGTCAGTCAGCTAGGAAATTAGCCATTTTCTTGCGCCATCGCAACGCGGATCTCATGAAATAAGCCCCAAGCCTCACGCGTCGAATAAGGTGTGAATCCGTAGCCGCGTGCCGGTAGCATTTTATTCTACGCCCAAACACTTCTGTGAGTCGGTTGTCTCTTACTGAATAATCCTTTGCATTTTCAGAAGCAGTCAGTACATTCTACATTTGTAATGAAGCTCGGGCTATAGCCAAGTAAAGCCTTACCGATATTCGTACTTTTCTCGGAATGGAGCCAAAACTATGCCACGAATCGAAGATGCGATCCGAAAGAACGGATGCCAGCTCGATGGCGGCATACGGGAACTCTCTGTCGGAGGAACCAACGAACCACCTGCTGCAATCGCTCCCGCCGATAACGAATCCAGTACCTCTTTGAGCTGAAGAAATAAGTTTAACTAAGCGGTTTAGCCCGCAAATGAATGAAATCCAGAAAGTAAGAAGCAGAACGCAGTATAACAGCTAAAAAGACCTATCATGTAGAAGGAAATTAACCTCTCCACGCTGAAATTGTCCTCCATCGGCGTGTCCATACAGTTTAACTCCATCACCAGTTCCCAGTTGCTGCACTTCAATAATAGCCTCAAGCTGCGAAGAAAGAACTGGATCGAGTTGCGCTTTGAATTTACTGGATAACTTCCGTGGAAATTCTCCTTTCCTAAACAACAACAACAGCTCTGAATACATTCAGTCTTGTAGTCTCACATCATGTCGTAAGCGGCGTCGCTGCTTCCGATATAGTCGAACGATTCCTTGAAGAAATGGATCATACATTTATTTTACTGTCAA